TGTAACCTTAGATATAAATACTGGATACCATAGCACCAACACTGTGATTACAAGCCTGCTATCTGTTAGTCATACACAGTGACTCACCAGCTTCTTGCCATTTTCGTCTTCTGGGTCAGAGTTAAGAGGATCTTCAGCGCTGGAGTAGCCATCATGTTCCCCTGAGGCATCGAGTGACAGGGAGGCTTTATTCCAGCCTGAACAGAAGAGGCAAAAAACAAAACAAAACAGGTGCTTAGTTTGCAGCAACATTCAGCCTCAGCTACTGTCAAACATGTACGTGACCTGAAGGGAGAGTGATGAGTATGGAAGAACCACGATAAGGTCCCCATTGTTAGAACAAAAGTGGCTAAAATCAGGAATCCCAGATTACACAATCAGATCCACAACTATGCACTACAGAAAAACTCCAAGATGGTGGAGACTGGCATGCAACTTCATATTTTAAACTTTCTTCAAACAGAGGTATAAAGTGGGCAGGCAAACATGCCTCTGTGTCAGAGGGTATTCTATGATTTTCTCTGCGCTTGAAGGGGACGTGGAAAAGACAAACGCGCTGCCTTTAAAAGGTTCATAGCAGTGAAACACCCTGACACAGCCAGCTGTGGCAGGTTAGTGCCAATATACCTCTCCACTTTGTCTGTAAGAGACTAGAGGTGCTGAACCACCTGGCTCTGGTCAGGTGGAGGGCTGGAGGACCTGCATCTGAGGGACAGGAGGCAATGGAAACACAGCTAGTCACTTTTCCTGCTGTAGCTGCAGCCAACCAAACCTGTGTAAGACCTTGGATGTATTCAAGCATTATGGAAAACAACTAACCCAGCAAGGAGGCTATGCAGTAGCTGAACATTACCTTTAAAGCCAAATGGTGTGGGATCACTCTGGCGTTTCGTCTTGTGATCTGGGCTGGTGGGAGATCCTGGGGAAAAAAAGTAAAAAGAAGAGATGAGGTTGAAAGTTAAATCAAGAAAGACATAATTATCAAAAAGTAATATTCAACAGGCCTATTTTCATGAAAGGAATGAAGGAAAGGTATAAAGGAGGCATAGAAAACAGCACTTTCTCAGCTCAGACTAATAAAACAAACAAAAGTCAACTAATACAGAGGTAGAAAAGTAACTAACTAAAACAGCACCTGCAAAAAGTAGCTGAACTCTGCAAGATTTCAGAATAGAAGCTGCTGCCATAGAAAAAGTGCTTCAGCAACACAGAGGCCGCTCACGGGAGACATTTTGACATGTTACAGTATGCAGGTGTAAGGTTTTTGCACTTCTGTGGTTCTGATATTCTGCATGCTGATTTATTCTGTTTACCCTGACATAACTTTCAACACCTGCTCAGATTCACATGCTTTTCTTAACAAAGTCAAAATGTCAACTGTGCAAATGCCATTACACTGGATGAAATAAAACTGGGGTCTAGAGCTGTGCGATACCTGATGATGGGAAGACTGTCATGGGTAATGTAAAACTTTTGTCATCAGTACTTGAGGGCTCTGTGGAGGGAAGCATGCAGCATTTCTGACTAAAAGGCTTTAATAAAATCCCCCAGATACTTTCTCCAGACTGAGCAACAGTCACACACTCATGTCTTTGTGGTAAAAGTGAAAAGAGTGCTGTCAGAAGTTAGCTTTACCCAGAAGTTGTGACAAAGTCAGGAAATGGGTTAAAAACATAATTGTATATGATCTATGATGATTTATAGCAATAACTTCCTGCAAACTCACTTGAGCCTGATTATTTCTTGTCCTAAAGACATGAGTGATCCAGCTTCTAACTGATGTAATATTAGTGTCTTAAGATGATTAAACAAAAATGTATTGCGTCACACTAAATGGAAAAATCCTTTTTTTGTTTCACAGATGCAGAAGATGAAATATCAGGTGGATAATGGAAAATCTCTGGCTTGCAGTTACCTTTCTGAGCTTTGAGGTTACTGAAGCCCTGTAAAGTAAAGCGCTTTTTAGCCACAGCAGCTCTGTCTGAGGTCGGGCTTGTCACACCCTCATCTGACTCAGACGGAAAGCAAGGAGACAAGACAGACGGACAAAAAGAATTAAGGAAGAAGGCAAGTTGGGTTAAGAGGGAATCAATACGGAGGGAAAATGGAACTTGATTCATTGGGAAATGAGAAGTTAAGACACGAATCAATCATAAGAAGTGGGAAAGCACAGAGGTAGGGTAAAACAGAGTTGATGCAACACATGCATTGCAAATGTTACAGTTAAAATTTAACAAGAAACAAGGCGGGTATCCCTCGTGCGCTCTTCACTCACCTTTCCCTGCAGCCTTTACAGAAGAGGAGGAATTGACATCAGGACTGCAGGACTCAGCTTTCTTCTCTTCTCCCTTTTTAATGCTCTTCTGGCCTGTCTTGAATGGGCTGCAAGTGGAGAAGAGAGCAACATGAGCAGCTTCAACAATTTCTGAAAGAACTGGCCCAGATTATTAAAAGTTTACAAAGGGCAATCACATGGAAAATGTTCGTAACACCAGTGAGAGAAAGTAAATGAGGTGGGGAGTTCAGACTGACCTGAGACTTACGGTTCCAGTGGGAACAGGTGGAGCATGGGTGGCCTGATCTGGTGCCCTCTGCTGGCTTGCTTCTGAATGACACAAATGAGAGAAAAACAGCGATGCTGGAACATCACTTCAGCTAAGGCATAAGTTATAGAAAAACTTTCATAATGGTTTTCATAATACATGAATGTACCTCTGCATTCCTCCAGCTGGGTCGTCAGGACCTTCCTGATCTCATTTACCCAAGTGGTTTTGACATCAGCCGTTGGTGCCTGAGACAAAAAGGATGTACAGCCCTCAAAATCTAACCATTATCAGAGTATTTGCTCAGTAGTTGTTCTTCATTAGTCTTTGTTTATTTACCTGAACAATATAGACTTCTTCTCTGGAGTTGCACCAAATTTCAAACTTTTTGTTGTCTCCTTTTGCATTCTCAGTGATGCCCACGGCTCTCATCTGTTCAATAAACAGTGAAGAAAAATATGCATCTTTGTTACCACATCAGTAAAAAAAGAATCAAATGCAATTTGCAACCTTAGATGGGCTCACATTCAAGGACTGCTTGAAGCTGTATGAAGGAGCTTTCTCATAACCTTCCCCGTTCTCCTCTCTCCTCTTGCAGAAGAGCAGGGCCTTCTCGTGGAGGAAGAGGTGTCTCTGCATGGGCTTGAAACGGGCCAGATCCTTAACCTTGGCATGGCCTTTCTTGTGCTCGGTCCACACACTGAATGACCCTTGCATAAGCAGTTTACCCAGCTCACTCAGATTACCCTGAGAAATGAATGGGTTAAAGGGAAGAGATACTTTAATTTAAAAACAAAAACACGCTGGATATGCTCTAAAATAGTTTACAGATGCCCAAGTTTGACTTTCACACACCTCAGTCTTTATGCCAAATGTAGCTCTCTTTTGTGCTGTATGCCAGAGTTATCTGAAGTGTCACGATTATGACAAATATATCTTTCTAAATAATTTATATATACACTTGTAAGTGGCTGCCAAGTTTTAACAGGCACAAGAGCAGAACATTTGTCTAATTTATCCTACCGGTAATTTCAAAGCTCTCACGTCACTTATCATCATGTTTCCATCTGCTAGATGAAAGTAACAGTGGAATTCAAAAGGAGTTTCACCTTTCTGGACCTTTATATCTCAAACGATCTGTTAACACTTGATCCTTTGACATCAAGGAAGTCGAAGGATCATATCAGCTCTTTTCTCCCAACAGTTTTCACAGTTTGCACATTATTTTTGAGTGTTACAGATTTGCATATCTGGGCCACAGATATGTTGTTGCAGTGCAGTTCTTTAATGTTTTAAATATCACAAAATATGTAGACTTTCTTTCTCGAGTCTTTGTTTGAACCGATTTTACATTTTGATTTTAAAAAAAGAGCTTTCAGTTTTGCTTCATGGATTGTAAAAAGCTCTATTATATCATTTAAAAGAACAATTTCATCTCATAACCTATCTGACGTCCATGACATGTCAGTGACATACACTAAAGTATTGGCTGGCAACTGTTATTCCTTGAATTCAGGTGTTAGCAGTCCCATTGCCACAGGTGTAGCCTATAAAATTTAGCACCTAGCCATGCAGTCTCAGTCTACCTTCACAGATATTTGGGCACCTTTGCAGCAGGCCAGTTTGTGAAATTTCTTCCCTTCTAGATATTAAACTATAAACTGTAGGTTATGGTGGCTCTGAGAGTCCATGTAGTGGATGCCAAGCATCTGTTAGGTGACTGATAAACTCTGCGCCTGTTTAATGTCTCACCTCAAATCCTGTAATGGCGATAAGGTGCATGGAGTCATTGACAGCCTTGAGGATCCCCACGATGGAGGTCAGCGCATCCTGCAGGTCGTCAGCCCCTTCACAGCCCTTACTGTACTTCAGCATTTCCTGAAGTTAGAAAAAACCGAAGAAGCAGCTCATAGCAACCACACGAAAACAGAAAAAAACAGTTGTAGAGTCTGTTTGATTTGTGGCCAACAGATAGATTCACACCTTCAGTAGCAGCTGGTACTTGGTAATCCTCTGAACCGGCTTCAGGAGATATGAATCTAAACCCAGTTTATGCTCCAGCTTTTTCTGGCATTCCTGATGTAATAAAAAGAAAATGATGTCAAATAAAACATTAACACCTTTTTACTCTGCCCACCTGAGCGTAAATCTCTTTTGAGCTACTGTATCTCACTGAAAAATGTGTTTAACTTGGTAACTTGAGTTGTTATATAATGCTGTGTTTTTCAAATATTATAGCTTTTAATTTCCCACTGGACGCTGGAAAAATCAGTTTGCAATTTTTGGTAACTAGGCAACTGAATTTAAGTTGTTTCCAAAAAAGTATTTACACAAATGATTTTTTAAAAATATTTTTTGGGAGGTTGTTATTTCCCCAAGCAATGAAATGTTAAATGGGTTAGGCTAACACGAATGTGCTGACGGCTGATTTGTTCACCTGGAAGAAGGCGCAGTCTGAGCACTGCCTCCACAGGCTCTCAGAGCGAGGTTTGTTGTGACAGTACTTCTCATAGATCTGCAGGTCTGTCATCTGAGGGGAAAGCAATGAAAAAGATTTGTACAGCACAGTCCCTTCCTTCAGTAAAATTAGTTGTGTGCCTCTTGGCTATCTCACCCTTTACTCACCCTCTCTAAGAAGCATCTACCAACCAACTCTGGGCAGTCTGTGTACTGCTCCAACTCCCTCAGAAAAGTTCTGGTAAAACAAAAAAAAAAAAAGAAAAGAAAAAGATTTTGAATGTGTTTATTGGCCTTGATGTCCAACACAGCACAGATATGATCAGTGACCACCAGATGGCGCTCCGTTACCTTTTGTGAAAGTGGTAAATTTCCGGCATGTTGCCAAACAAAACCTCCTTTTTGTTCTGCAAAGGCGCAGGGATAAGGTGAGACATTGCTGGATTATCCATCTCAGAGGCGTATCCCTGAAACAAACCAACAAAAGCACAATATGAAATACCCAGAGCAGGAAAAACAGAGGGCGCAGGAAACCTTCTGTGGAGTGATTCTACACCTGTAAGACACAGAGCAGCTCCTCCACGTAAGCCCTCTCAGTTTCCAGCAGCTCGTTCATAACATGTCTGCAGAAAGGCAAAGGCAGAGAGATCAAGTAAGGGGTTTGGTGTACTCAGATAGCTGCACGGAGCTTTAGATCCCCAGATAACCCTTTTCACACAGCCCATCTGCTGTGTAATTTGATTACAGATGAAAGAGTTAGTGTTGATCCCTCACCGCCTGAGCACTGCCAGGTTCTCCTCCTCCTCTGACAGAGAGGTATGTCTGCTGCTACTGTATTCGTTCTTCAGTTGGCCATTTCCCTAAAAAAAAAAGGGGGGAACATTGGATATGGAACAGACTCCAAAGTCTTTAGAAAACACTTGTACAACAGTTTACAAACAGAATCTTGAGTCTCACTTTTTCACAGTTGCCAGAGTCTGTCTCTGAGCATTTCTTCTCCAGCTTTGCTCTGCGGGCTGGGGATGTGAAAATACAGGGATGATTTTCAACTTATTAAACTATGTAATAACTATTAATAACTTTGATCGTTGTAGCTGGTCATGAGGAATGTGGCATAATATTAGAAAAGCTGCATTCAAGGTTTCCAAATACTTTATTATTGTAAGAAGCTGGTTTCAGCTCAGTAATGCTTGCAGCTTGAAACATCCTTTTTTGCAACATGTATATTACACATTGTGTGGCAATTTTGTACAATTAATACAAAGAGGTTATGTGGTTTCTATTACTGTCAATGCTTCAATATACTGACTAATAGAATAGCTGTGAAAAACTATAAATTAACTGGAGAGTGTGTAAAGGCCCTTGTATGTAAATGTGTAGGATGCAGGATAAATAAAGAAAATGTATACTTGTTTTTGTCGTAAAAATAGTGATTTCAAGCTAAAAATATAAGATTTTTTTTATTTCCTTCTACAAGGTTGTTCTGCAATAAGTTATGTATCCTTATTGTGTTTGAACAGTGGAAAATGGACTGTTAATGCATGGTCTCAGGTAATGCACACATAAAAGCTAGACACAGCATCAACAGGCTTCAAGTAATGCTAAGACTGAAGAGCACAAAAACCTGAGAAAGTCTGAAAAGGCTCTGCACTGCATGACGAGTGTAATGTACGGCCGTGTGAAGACTGACCAGGTGAGCTGAGAGGGGATTTGATGAAGGCTTCGGGTCTCGGGGCTACTGGCTGCACAGGCCTGGTTTGTTTAGCTGCTAGCTTCTTGAGGCTGACTCTCCTCTTGTCAAACATCTCCTGCATGGACGCCTGCTTCTGGAAAACTTTCTCCACTTGGTCCTGATGCACAGGAAGCCACCGGAAAAGTTTCACCATTAAATGTGTTATTGATGTATGCCAACATCAGTAAAGTCGTAACACAATAATCTGAGATGAGATATTATGCAATGTTAAACATTAGCACTAATGTGGTCATTATTGTTGGCGAAAACCTCAGCGATGTGACGTTTGAATGCAACACGTGTGTTCTCCTCTCATGTCAGTCCTCTTACCCTCAACTGCTGGTTCAGCACGGCCTCGTAGTCTTTCCAGATGGTGCTGAGGTCTGTCAGCTGATTCTCGCCTGCATTATCCAGGTAACGTTCCAGCTCCTGCAGGGCCAACTCTGCGCCCTCATGTGACTGACATTTATCAACCGGCTGAGAAGCCAGCAGGTATATGCCATCATCAACCCACTTTGATGCCTGCAGAGGAGAGCAGAGGAGGATGAAAGTGGAAAAACCAGAAACAACACAAGACAAAGGGACTAATGGGGGCATGTATGCAGTTGTCTTCTCACCCGCTCCAGCCGGTGGTGTAGCTCCCTGGCTTTGAGGAGATGGTCCTTCTTGGCTCTCAGATTGTTGTTCACAGTTTCACTGATTGTTCTAAGCTCACTGCATTTGGGCTGAATGGAGTCCTCAGCGTAGTGGGACTTCTGGATCAGTTCATCACCCTCCTGGGACAAGGCTGCAGTTCTGACCAGAACCTCCTGAGGACCAGTGTAGTGCAACAGTTCAGTTCTGACCTCAGCTCAGTGGACAGTTTGTTCCAAAGAACAGGACCACAGTTATTGAAAGCACACTGAGATGACCTGAGAGGTCCAGTTGGGTTATAGACACTGAGTGAGTCAAAAGTATATGGGGTTGTTGTGCACACAGGTATTGTGCTTTGAATGCACTGTGCAGCTGCGACACGATTTTCAGGAAATATAAGCCTAAAAGCTCATATTTAAGAGTTCCTGCAGAGTGTAATGGGATTTTGTCCAGATGAAGCTGCTGATGTAGTTTTGGTTCTTGATTTAAAGCTGATTGCACTACTTTTTTATTTAGGTCTTTCTTGCTTAGTATGTCGTTCTCTGTTGGTCAGTGCATAGCACGTTTCAGTTTGAATTACTTACGCTTTTACTTTAAATTTGTTTAATTTTTTGTGTAGATTGTTGTATTTTTAGACACAACCTTGTTCTTTTCCCACCCTTGATGTCATCTGAGTTCCCTTGCTCCTTGCTAACCTTCCTTAAGCTTTGGTTTTCCTTATTATCTTTATGGACTTTAATTATTCTCACAGTTTGGGAGAAACTCATCTAGTTTGATGTCCTTAAGTTGGACTTTTTTAGTGATCCCTGCGTCCTCTGTGCAGTACTTTATTAGATAAACGCACATTATGAAATAAGAAAACTTGAGAAAATTGCTTCACTTTAGACATTTTACACATGAATATGAAATATAAAGATGTTTAATCACATTTCATGATGATGATCACTATTATCTGTTCTATCAACCTTACTACATAAAATCGCAAACAAATTAGTAATTTTGAACAAAATGAAGCACATCGCGGTTTTTAAATTTTCTTACATGAAAGTTTATTTAAATATCATTTAATTTCAATCATCTGCTAAAACACAGCCGGTGATTTGCTTTTGGAGTGTAATGTAATTTCGAAATGACAAAAAAGAAAGCAGAACACCTCCCCTCCACCCCCATCCATATTATAAAGCATCTTATTCAGCTGTTTGGGTCATGATTACACAAAGCTTTAATTGTGATGATTCAGGTGTGACTTACACAGACTTTCTCCTCATAGGTCGTGAGCTCAATGAAGATGTGGTCAGCATGGGCTGGACTGATCCCAACCTCAGAGAAGGTTGCAAGTTTCTCAGACACCTGATCCAGCAGAGCCCTCACCTGCACCAGAAACACAAGTTTTGAAGAGATCCAGTATGCGGGATTTCAATATATAAAAAAAGTCCTGCTCACCTCTCGGTAGTTATGCTCAAAGTGGCGCAGTTGAAGACACTGCTCTAGTTTGGTTTGATGTCTCACCCAGAACTCATCAAAAGCTCGTTCTGTCTCATCCAGCTGAGACAGCAATCTGCCAGGCAAGGCGAGAAAGACGGAGAGGAAAGAGCCAGCGTTAAATCGAGCTAAAGCCGTAGGGGGAAAATTAATGAAGCAGAGAATGCTGACCGAGGTATTCAGATCCCCTTGGTTTATGGTGTTTGCATGTTTTTATGCTATTTAGTGGCAATAACTATTATGATTATTGTGGAGATCGGTTCTCTCAATGTGCCTTAAAATACTGTGTGACCTCAAAGCATACTGACTTGAAACAATATTCCTAAAATAGCGAAAAGAGATGAAACAGGCCAGGAAAAAATATCTTGTATTTTAAAAAAAGGCTTTAATTTTTGTTACGTAAATACATCAGGATGTGAAATGCCTTTATAATTCAGTGCTGGCCTGATATGTTTAGCTCTTAATTTTAACTTAGTTCAAAGCATGTCCGAAAAAATCTAGGGAATCATTATTTATGAATTTCAAACAAATATTCATCCCACAAAAAGTTAAAAGTTCTGTCTCAATCAACAAAGAAAAAAAGTGCTCCTCTAATATCTCCTAATGTGCCATGACTGGAAGTTTTTTAGTTTTCAGTCACCGTCCCGCAGCTGTGCCACTGGCGTAACTGGTTCCAACCTTTGAACTGTAGCCAGATTCTCCAGTTCATCCTGGTTCATGTTGTGGTCAGGGTCTCGCACTACAGGCTCATTGATGCTCTCCAACAGCCTGCTGCCCTGACCCAGAGCCACCAGTATATCCTCCTTATAATACAGAGACAGATGGGGCAAGCATGCATTATCTGAACAGACCAATGAAGCAATTAATGCATATCATATTACTCTTGTAATTTCAAAGAATGCATTTTTATATTTGAAGGTATTACCTTCATTCTTTCTTTCTTGCTGGTGTGTGTGCTCAGAAGGATGGTTGTGGCCTGTATTTCATTTGGGAGTTCAGTTTCTGCCAGCTCAGTCCCAAATGACTGCAGAGTCTGTGCAGTTTTCTTTACCATCAGTGCAAAGCCTTCAATAGCCTGAGTCATGTGAGACACAACAGAGATTTTCATCGAGAAAATGCCAAATTTTCATTCTCAGGTGATGCTGATAAAATGCACTGTGTTCTTGTAACATGTAAAACAAATCATAAAGTGCACTTTTAAGGGGATTGGCTAGTTCCAAATTGCAGTCTGTAAGTAGAATACTTTATGACAATATCGTCAGTACTCACTTTGCAAATAACACTTTACATTTTGATCTTACCGTATAGGCGGAGGTTAAAGTAGACTGGATGGATCCAGTTCTGGCACTTTTAGCTAATAAGTGATCAAATCTTATCAGCAGTTTAATATCTAATAGAACCGAAAAATTTAGTTTTCATGTGCTGCAGCCAACTTACAAGCCAGCTTCCACGTCAATATCCTTCCCATCAGCATGAACACAAGTAAGGTGTTCATGGATAAACAGAGTAACACTTAAAACCTTCAGGTAATTTCAAATGCTTCAAACAGTTTAGCAAATATCAGCAAATACAAACTATTTCTGTACCGTTTGGACCACAGTGTGGCTGCGAGCCAATTGTGTGCAGTATAGCAAATTCCCTCAAAGAGATGGAGAAAGGTATAAGACAAAGAGGACAGGAGAGGAAGATGAGAAATTATTTTCAAAGGCATCTGATAAACTGGAAATTTAAAGCTTATGTAACCATGCCTATTTTTTGGTCATCAGATGTTGGACCTATACATGGTACATACTGTATATATGTGCTGGATGAAAATGCTGGGGATTTTAGTGCAGGCTGTAGTGGTTAGTTTACAGCACTGTGGCACACATAGACTAAGCAGTGCAGGTTGTGGTGTTCATTGTAAGTGGTTATGTCAAGGGTAGCACATTTCAGTTTAAATTAGATCTTAAAGTATTATTTTTAAATGATCCCACCCCTAATCTGTACAGCTGCATTGAATATTAGAGTTCTCCCTTCTGCCAAAACCCACTTTAAGCATTGCTTACAGGCATGCAGAAAAAGGTTTTTTTTAAAAATGTCTTATGATCAATGGACAGTACTGAACAGTACATACTGTGCGGTGAGAGATCCACTTCTCATGGCAGTACTCCTGTGTTCCCCCGAGCTCCTGGGTCAGTTGGGTGCGATCAATATAAGAGTGCAGCTCAGTTATAGAGCTCAACATAATCACCTGAGAGAGACAAACATCAACATCTTTGAGCAACTATTTTTCTTCATTTTTTTTTCCTATTTGAGAGGAGAACACAAGTCACTCATAGAATAGACACGAGTGTGTTTTTGCACAGGAGACCCAAAGCGCACGCACCGGCACCTTCATCTTGAACTCATCCTTGTTGAACTTGAAGAGGATGTCGGAGAGTGTGCGTTGGAGAAGGGTAGTGGGCCTCAGAACCAGAACCAGCTGGAGGTTCCCTGGGAAGGAGCCCTGACATAGGAAAGGAGACCGAGTATGTAGTAAGGCAAGCAAGTCATCACACTTCAGTTGTACATGTTCTGTTTTTTTCTTCTTTTGTTTTCCTGCTGACAGCATGGACTTCTCATATATTACTCTCCCCCTTTATCTCTCCTTCCATCTCCCACGTGATAACACCGATGTGAAGAAGCTAGTAGACTACCAGAGAATGAAGAAAATGTGGAGGGTGCAGGGCGCCATCGCATGCCAGGGACATTAATCTTCATGTCTCTGAGATGCTTCTGCATGAATAATGAGGTAGACGGCGTATTCACACATGTGTGGAGGCACATTCAATCAGGTTTTCCCCTTACTCAGTTGACATTGTCAAGCTGAACTGGCATAGTTTTGAGTTGTTTGGTGACAAGGAAGTTATCAATTTATCTCCTTTTTAGACACATCTATTTCACATCTTATCCCTGTATCTGAGGAGTATTTTTTAGCCCTTTTCACAGCTTGGCTGCACAGTATAAACACTAGGGGACACGTCTATAATTAACTTGATTACTTCTTTGCAAAAAGAAAACAAAGACAGTTGCTTCAAACAACATACTCAGCACAAAAACAGATTTCACTAAGCAAAACAGTTTTGCTTCATGTGTTCAGAACATCCACATAAATCCTTTTCATATGTATCTTTCTGTCCATCTACCACACACTCTCAGCCAACAGACCCAATAAAAGCTAATTAAAATGTCATGATTGACACCCACTGACAGCATGGAGGGCACAAGCTGATCTCCCTTCTTCAGGCAATACAATAGATAACCCAGCTTTAATTAGCTAATGACCTAAATGGATGGTTTGTCTGATTGGCCATCCTCCTCGAGTGAGTTGGGGAATGCTGGTCCAAGCAGAAGTGAGAGCGAATACATTGTTCATAAAAGAAATCCTCTTGGGAGCAGCATTATTAATGGGATTAATAAATCAATCCATTGTTTGTCCTTACTGACCCGCTGGAAGAAGGAAGATAACTGGTTAAAATGGTCATTCACCATCTGCAGAGATGAATCATGCAATCTGCAGAACATATGGCTCTGTTTGTTAGTGGTAGGTGTTATCACAAAACAGGCCTGTTATTAATTATTTTATGATTAATGGATCTGGCAGTCTTGTGCAGAAACAAATCTGAAACGAGTAAATGGTAAATCTGGTAAGATTCTATATTTTATCACCATCAAAAAAACAAAATCCTAAGAAATATATATGCAAATTAATATCTGAGCCTGTGTGTAGCAAAGCCTGATATATCCGATTCCTGGTAAGAGTCCAGAATAGCTGTTAGGAACTTTAATGTAACATATTGTTAAACCTTCAGAGAATACATTGAACAAAGGCACTGCTGTGAGTCCTAGTGCACTAGCTAAATATAGTCCAACTAACACAGTGTGTTTTATAAAACAGTGCAGGAATTAAAAATATATATAATTTTTAGAAATATAACTATATATTCATGTGCAGCATGTTATCTTCTTTAAATTAAAGTTCTCATAGGCTAAAGGCTACAGACAGTTTTGGGAGCTGACACTATATTATATATCCAGTCTTAGCTTCCAAGCATTCATCCACGTTGCTTGGATCTGTTGTCTCTGGCAGTCATGCACTACTTGCTCTTTGACAATGGCTGACACACACACACGCCTCAGGAGGAGCCTGATAAATGACAAGCTTTAGGTAGTGACAGACTCAATTAAGACCAGTCTACAAACACTTTCTCTCATAAGACTCAGCTCAGCTGTCCTCAAAAACACACTGACCCACATTCAGGCCCACAAGCCCACATATGCACAAGTACACACATCTACATAGACATGCACATGCACAGCAAAAGACAAAGAGCATCACTCCTCAGCCGCCTCATTTTCTCACAGACACAGACCAACACACAGACGGAAGAACCTCCACTCTACAGATAGCGCCACTTTTCATCACCACGTATTTAACAGCCTGGTGGAATCACTTCAAGCAGAGTATTATTACAGGGCTGACTGAATGGCCCCTTATTACCTGCCTGTCAACCTGTAAAAGTCTGCCTTGTGGGATTAATAAAGCTTGATTTAATTTGAAATGACTGAGTGGGTCTCCCATATCTCTGGAGACAGTAGGTGGTAATAGCCATCGTTTGCTCTCCCACTCAGGCATTTCATCTTTTTATACATCTGCCTCCTTCAGTGTTTTCAATAGACACGTGAGGATCTGCTTCACACAAAAAATGCTGTTCTATGTAGATTTCCTTAAGGAAAACTGTCCTACACACCATCTTTGTCATCTGCTGTGTCTGAAAAATCCTGAGATTCTTTTGATTCCAGTGGAGCAATTCTATGATACTGGAGATCAACACAGTAGCTCATTTTTGTTACATAAAGAAGCTACTAAGCCAAAGAAAAGTGGCCTTCTTCCATTAGTATATGAATCATGGTGCTTGTCAGCAGTCCATTGGTTTAGCTCCAGTTAAACAATACTGAGAGATTGTGTAAGAGGGTGATTCCCACCCCCATCTATATACACTATGGAGCGCTGCCAGTGCTTCATCAACTCCCTACAGAAAGCCTGAAACATGGATGATCATATAGGCACTCTGGCTCACTGTATACAAGTAAAGCCTGGGACAAATGAAACATGCTCCAAAATAACATTCCCCTTATTCTGTTAGTGTCAGTTTTCCATCTAAAAAGAAGTAGGATTAATGAGCAATGGAAGAGATTATATCAGAAGTTCCCTCTATCCTGATGAATCATGCAGCAGCTGAAAAACATACAAAAGGCTACTTTGCTTAGTAGGCTGTGCAGGAGTCCTTTAAGCCACTGTGAGCAGCGTTTAAGTGACTCATTTATACTAATTTACTCAATTGTTTATAATAGAGGCCCAAATATCAATCAATGTAAAGCCAAGATGATGAGTGAGAGATTTAAACGAATGTGTGAACAAAACAAACACATTCTGCTGTATTTTCAGCTTATTTTTCCCCATAGCTGTGAAAACACTGGCTGTGATGGTAATGGTCGAGAGCTTATGGCTGTGCTTTCTCATATATTAGTGGTGGAGCTGTTAAGTAGAGGAAGTTACAACATCTCTCTGAGGCCTAATAAGCTTCATCCTCCCATGGGTGATGGTGTACGGACAGTTCCTGTCAAACCTCGGTCCCCTCACTCTCACAGCTGATGAAATATCTGTTTCTGTCCCAGTGAGACTCATGCAGAAGGCAAGTGCACGCTCAGATCTGCAGAGGCAAAGACAAACTTACTGCAATACGAAGCAGGGTCCCCTTTACAGCTGCCCATCGGTCTTGCCGGCGATCAATCACCAGGATGAACCCCACGCCTGTTGACGACAAGCTGGAACACACAAGGAGGAAACATTTTCAGCACAAACTAAACAGATCTGTTGTGACCAGCTTGATGGTTCAAGGGTGAGAAAGTTAGCAGCACAGTGAATGTGGAGGATGTCATATCAGTTTGTTTGTTTTTTTTTACATGGAAACAGCCTGTACTACAACCAAACGACAGACAAGAAGGGAATTCTTGTAACACAAGAGCTTTAAGAGGTGGGAAAAAATCCTCTATGGCACAGAAGTGAAGCCAAGTGCCTGTTCACAGATTTCAGTTTTGTTGTGCTGCTCTTTATCTTCTTAGACAGCTGGCGCCATCAATAAAAGGAGATACTGTGAAGCGCCTCCAGATTTCTTGGCCACCAGCCCCCAGCCCTCACTTCCCCCATTCCCCTGCTCTCCTTTGTGGTCCCAGTAGAAATGGGGAGGGGATGGGTAAACACTGACAACAACTACTGACGGCCGCACGTGCAGTTTACCAGCAGAATCCTATCTACACTACCTGAAACATGTGCATCCTGTTTCAGGTAGTGGTAAAGCACCGTCATTACCTTTCAAGCAGAAATATTCCAGTAAGCTTCAAGTATTTGTTTTCACATCTTTCATTCTGCAACTATTGACTGCGTAGACAAGGTGGCAGCAGTTAAAAAAAGAGCGGTCCGTGTAACAATGAAGGCAAAATGAAAACACAGTAGAGGAGGCAGATCCCAGTGTGTTGTGCTGTTTGAAGCAGAGGCAGCCAAATGTTTAAGACCATTCCAGGATCCAGACTCTGCACCCCCTTCACTGCATCTGTGCGCTAACCAATGAGAGCTGAGAGCTGCTGGAATAAGAGCCAACCAAACCAAGGGTGCATAGCAATGGGCAGCTTTATTAGCCAATCAACGGATCAAAACAGATGTGAGTGAGGTTCTGAAGAGCATTTACAGTGTGCACCCAAAGCTTGCAGTATTAGTAAATCTATTCATGTCTGCCTCTCTAGTTAATGCTGTTACTTACTGTATCATTTACATTAAATTACTCATGACACTTCCTTCCCCTTTCATCTTTTCCTTTTTCTCCTCCTCCTCTATCATCCTCACTTTTCACCCCTGCAGTTTCACACAGTCATTGCTTTACAACTCATGTGCAGAGGTAAAGTGAGACAAGAGCTTTTCATCCTTTCAGACATTTATGACTCCTAAAATAAGAGGGTGGTTTATGCTGAACATCCACTGCCAGGGGATGGGAAATTTAATCATTTGGCCTATCAAGTAGTAGCACAACTTTAAAGTAAAGTATTAGCAGAAATAAGTGGATGTACAGTTTTTTGTGTAGCTATAAATTTTTTTTGCAAACACAATTTCCCAACTACTGCAAAAACTACTCATTTAAATATTCATAGATATTTTCTGGTGCTTTGGTGGCTGCGCATCCATGAGTGTCCTTCTAATAATTGGATTTCTTATGACAAAGGGTACAGAAGCACCTCGAGCTGTGAGTCGAGCTGTGAAAAAGCTTTTGCCCAAAGCCACTGCAGTGATGGGATGAGTCTCCTGGTTTAGTGGATATGCAACACATAACATGCATGGTACAGCTCCGGCCTCCTCTTGTCTTTTAACAGGGCAAAGAAATATGCATCTGTGTTATATAATAAATAAGAAGCAATCAAATTGTTAATTTGTGAATCTATAAGAAACAAAATAAATTAAAATAAACTTTAATTTGGATTATGCTTATGAAAACAAGACCATTCGCCTGACTTCTAAGGGGGATTTTCTCGCAGTGATTGTATCCATGTTAATTTAATGTATTATGAAGTTGAAATGATTTTCTCTAGCAAAGACCAAATTAATATAGACTTAGATCAGAGACTGTGTGATTTCAGAGAAGTCATTTGGGCCTCTCTTTCTTTCTTTGGTCTTTCGTTATCAACAAAAAGCTTCCGGATGCTAATCGCTACTAAAAATGACTACAAAATTAGATACTCAATCAAAATATTACCAAAACCAACAGTGCGATCTTTGGGTCCACCAGTTGTGGATAGAGCAGGCACAGAGCCCCTCCCCTCACTAGCAGCTGAACACACGAGTGGTAGTTGACATTTAAAACAGTGAACAACATTTTATGAGGAATTTCAAGAGGTCAGTAAAGCTCCTGTTTCAAGAAAATCGAAGTATTGAACATTCTCACATGTAACGTTAGACATTTAACTATTTGAATGGTCACATTAGAGTGAAACTGTCTGTGGAAGTACTGAGGTTTCATTTTATTTTCGGCATCAGTCTGCAAAGTGTGATATGAGGAAGACATTAAAAGTCATATATAATTACTTCCGTACTTACTATAGTAATATAACGAATGTAGAATGTTCTGTTCACTGATTATCTCATTCTAAAGGTGAGAGTTCAATTTCCTCAGGCCAGTTCTCAAGGTCCTTGCATGGTTTTTGAAGAATTACAAACTATAATTATTTGATGCTTTATACTGGTTTATTTAACACGATGCAAAACAATAACTTGTATTCAAATTGTCTGTGTCAACATAGTGTAACGAGATCTGGCTGAAGGACTGATGAAGTTATGTGATGGCAACGTATCTGTTCATCCATCCCTCTATAAGGCACAAGAACTGCTGTTCTACTTAGAAATATTAGCAGATTTCAGTGAAAGCTGGACATGGTGTTTATTTACTGGGTTTAAACCCAAAATGAGCTTAAATCCAAGATCACATTTGCTGTTATATAGGCATTTTTTCATTTTGGCAAGAATTGGTAGGTCCCCTAGAGTAGTGGAACCACTGCAGACACTGGATGTGCCATATTAGAAATTCATACAAGAAGTGAGGAAAAACAAGGTCCAAATGTAAGTGACCTCATTTATATCTGGACCTTGCTGCAGACCTTCTGATGGAGATTGGCATTCCCAGTTGTGCTTTGGTAAAAAAAAACAAAAAAACAAAAACGTAGTTATGCTTATGTTGTGATGTGCATGTAGTAAATGTTATATGCTGTAAACTGGATTTCCTCCATGCAGTCCTTATTTATAAAGTACTCTGCAAACCCTAACATTACGGCTAACAAGTGGATTCTCCTGTTTCGGTGCAGCTAGCCAACGATAAAGAATCAGTTAGTGAAAAAGACGCAGAGTGAAAAAGACAGTAAAAATAAAGTAACCACCATAAACTGCTTTTTAGTTTTAGCTTCCTTGCTTTCCACTGAGTTATTGCTTCTTTCACTAGTTATTTTACATAAACTAATCTAAGTCTATTAGCAGCAACCAACCCACCAACCCTGTGACATCACATTCTGTACTGGCACAAGATGGTGCTATGCATTTGCTAAAGCCTGTAGCTTTAAACACTTAACAGTCACAGACTGTTAAATCTATGACAATTCTTTTAAGAGTAGAGCTCCATGGTCTTAACCTTCATACGTAGTGTTTCATGTCCACTTTAGGAGTGCACCAGCTTAATGCCCCTCCCCCCACAGTCTGTCTGCTGACTGTATTCCCCAAGATACACAAACCATTTACGGGTTCATTTACTGAGTGTTGGTGGATGCAAAGAATAGAGTCAATTAATTAGATTCCTTCATTCACAAGACAAGACCCAAATTAGTTTAGTAGTCAACACATCCCAGCAACCAGCCAGTCAAGCATGCACACGTACGTATGTATGAGAGTATCAACATAAGAAATTATGTCTACAATTAATATCGATCCTGTGGTATTAATTTCAAACAAGCAGCAGCTGTCCAAGGTCAGAACAAACATTTGTCCCTGGATTCTGTGTGCCTCATTCGTGGTGTCAGTCCCTCAGGTATCTCCAGCCATCTGTCTGTGCATTCAGAACAGCTTGAGGCTGGCTCAGCACCATCTCACCCTGTGGCTGACCCTCACTCACTTGACAGAGTGACCAACAAGTAAGTGCATTACCTAAATTGTATCCAGTTAGGAAAATTAAGCCCATACTGAAATAAAGTTAGCCAAACATTGGCCAACTAACTCTGTATTTACTTCAAGTGATTAAAGCTCCACTGTTAAAGAAAGAAAAGCTGTGCTGTGACTAAAGGCCATTGCAGCCACATGGATACAGAGACATCTAGTGAGCAAGCATGCTGACACACACACACACACACACACACAACACCACACACACACACCACACACCACACACACTCCACTCCCACACACACACACACACACAGACACACACACACACACACCCCCCCCTCTGGTTAGCTGTATGCATTATTCAGGTTCAACCCGCTAGAATCACTGCTGGTTTCTATTTATACACAATGAGAAATTTCAGGCAGAATGAAGGGAAGGCAGGACATACAAGATGATAAGCTAAATCAAAAAACAAAAAAAATATCATGATTTAAAGAGCCAGGTGTTGATTATAAAAGAAATTTGGAGAAACGGTTGCTCCTGCACATTTTTTCCTCTTCTCTCGACATCTGCTCTGCCCATGTGGACAAAGACTGAACTGAAGAACACTTATAAAATAAAGTGTCCACAGGAATCCCAACTGGCCCTCTTCTTTTATACAAAGCTATGAGGTAATTGAGTCTTCCTCTTTGAGCAAATCCAGAGTGAGACTGTAATAAGTTAACTACTGCCATCTACTGGCAGACTTCATACACTCCTTCCAGTACATCACTATCCTTACTCTAGTTTCAGTTCAGGTGATCAGCATGAAAACTTCCCTAGTTTGAGCCACTTTCAAAGCCTTTCTATTTTATTACATAATATTTGATACTGTCTGGGCCACATGGTTTATCCATAAACCTGGATATGTTCATCAGCAGTACTTTGTTGCAATGACCGTAGAGAAACCAAGGGAAAGGTGACACAGGGTGAGCGAGATGAGACTTTAATTAGAGGTGAAAAAGTTCAGACTTTACCTTGGGACGCTTGTCAGGTAGGTCAACACGTTGTGAAACTCCTTGTCTGTGATCTCCCCAAATGCAGGGAATTCTGGGAACACAATGATGGGGCTGCCATTATCTCCTCTTCCTCCTAAGAAAAGGAAAACAAGATACACTGAAACTTTCCAGATAAAATAGGGGGTTTTGTAAGAATGCTTTTTGTTTAATAGGACATAAGAATAGAACGAAAAATGCAGTCACAAGGGGGCACTGATGAGAAGACTAGATTGTGATACTGGAGACTGAACAGAAAAAAATACTATATATTCACATAAAAAATATAGTCTTGTAGGCTCTCGTTCTCTTCAACAGACAATCGGCAAAAAGCCACTGGTTTCATGTAAATACATGTTTTCTCCAATACTGATCTCCAGCACATGATTTAAATGTTGCATCAGGTTTGAGACTTTGAGACTCAGAGATCATTTACATGAAATAATGACAAATATGAAATATTTGAGTGTTCTCACTCTCAATAAGACGATGACAAAAGATTATATAACAATTAAAGATGGAAGGATAGTAATAATAATAAAATGATATGAGACAGAGGGATGCTTCAGTGTTTGCACACAGTGAATAACGTTGACAACAACAGTCTCACCTCACACACACACACACACACACACACACACACACACACACACACACACCTGTCCCTGTGTGAAACAGCTGCTCTGTCAGCACTCATGACTAGAATATAAATCTCTGCCTTTTCCTTCCCTCATCACTATAGCAACAGCAAGTGCATGGTCATGGTTTCAACGTCTGCTTAGATCTTTGTCTGCAAAATGTTTTCTCAATTCTGCCACAGCCACAAGGTCGCCTCTTGGACAGGATTTTTGTCACTGTAGGACTTGCTGTAGCTTGAAATGTCTTTAAAATGATGCTAAAAATACACTTTTTTGGAGGTGAAAACACCGAACATGCAGAGGCGGTAAGTCCAAAAATTCCAGGTAACAGTATCAATGAAGCATGGGCCGTAACGTGATAAACCGTGAAGAGGAAACCGATAGAGGGGAAATTTGAATGGCAAATTAAAGCTGTCCTGTTCAGCTGAATTATGAAAAATTTAAGAGGAGTGCTGATCATTGAAAAATAGCAAACAAAATGACAAAGAACCCAGATCCGGTGAAGCAGACAGACAAAACAAAAAGGAAGACAAAAAAAAAAAAAAAGACATGGCAATTTGACCTGAAAGGAAGGCAAACTTCTTTTGAAGGTCAGGAGTGATGTCAGCAGCGCGGAGAGGACAGCTGTCCAGCTGCATAATCTCATCTGGAGAAAAAAAAGTTACAAAATTATAAGTAGCAATACATCTGAACCGAATACACAAAGTTTAGCAAAGTCTGACAGATTAATTTCAGGATTGTTTAGACTGCCATGGTTCTAAAAATTTGTCTACCATCTCTACACATAATTAATTAATAAAACAGTATATTGTGGTGCATTTTCATATATACTTCATTTCACCAAAACGCAGGTTACTTTTGCTGTAAACAAACAGTACTGATATGTTAACAGGCTTTGTCAACAGTTCTTGATCTGCCCATGTGCTCGCCTCATACAGATTAAATTAATCAGATTAAAGGTCATTCCCCCAGTTGGAGATAGAGATTGTAATTATACTGGGGATCAAACTAGAGGTTAGGGAGCCTTGTAGGCTAGACAAGCTGTAACATAATATGCAGAAGTGGAAGGAGATTTTAATCATGCAACAGACAACTTTCCAAAATAATCTTCACCACAAAGCACAGAGAAACAGATTAAATACATATTGAAAAAGCTTTACAGATCCCAGTTTCTGAGCTTTTAACCCTCATGAATATGTATTAAAAGGGACTAAAAACATACTTTATGTCCTCGGTTGGCCTCTCACTACAGTTTGAGTAATCAACTCTTAAATTAACATGTTACTTTCTGCTGAACTATTCTGGTTGCATCACATAAGAGTTTCGGTGTTCTTTTCAACACTTCTCAATGATTTGAAGCAGAAGGGGCTCAACAGGGAAACTTACTTTGGTGCACCAGTTAGGACTGGGCAATCATGAATTAAGACTCTGGCTGAAGTGGCAGGGTCGCTTACTGATGTTGGCACAGGCTGCTGTGATGAAGAGGGCAAAACTCTAGCAACACTCACAGCTGATTTAGACTACTGCGGTGAATGCTGTAGGGGTTATGACTGCCTGGTATTTTATATGCAATGGAAACTATACAATAACAACTGCCCAGAGCTCAACTTGAAACTGATAGTCATACATTATATACATAGAATAAAAAAAAATGAACATCACTCACTCCCACTGTTAAGACATGTAAACTAAGCCACCTCCACAGCATCCATAAAAAAGCAGTACTCTACTGTAATCCATACATATCATCCACATGTTTCTATATCAAAGATCTAAACAAGCTCTGTGAGCTTTGTTGTGTTTTATTAAAAATGTTTATTGGTTTTGAGCAGGGAAAACAAGCAGAGAAAATGTGGCACTGCTGTAATGAACTCTGTGCCATTTGCTATTACAGTTTGGCATTTAATTATTTATGCTGAGATGTGTTTTATGTGACGAGCTCAATAATATAAGTGTTACACTTGCCCCAGTGTACCAGTACATCTGTCATCCTGTCATTAACTTTCTACCGTTACATTTAAGCTTCAGATTTATTCCTAGTGCTGATTGGCTGCAGAAGTTTCACCTTCGCTCATATAAAACCCAAGAAGCTGGAGCTTCTGCTCCCTCACCTCCATCAGCACAGGCATTATTCCTGTGTTACTTTTGCAGTTGTGTTTATTATTTATTAATTATGAGTTGAATAGAAAGTTAGTGGCAATCCTTTTTTCAGTCGTGGTTCAATTAATTTGGGGAAGAAGCTTGAATCAGATGTGTGGTTGTTTCTGGGTTTTCTTTCTCTTGCAGCAGCGTTCTGGCATCTGTTACATCAGGTTCTTTTGAGCCATGGATTTAAGGTCCATAATGAGACCTAACAATTTAATTTAAAAACAGAACATGGGCAAATCTGAAGCACCCCTCTATTTAGTTCCTATAGAAATATTCATGTTCACCAAGCTATCCAGGAACAGAAATCTGTATTATATTGAACCAAAAGAGAGAAAGAACATTTATTTGTGCCATCAAGTTTCTAGGAGGGGAGTTTCCTGTAAATATGGATGTGAACACAGACATACTGCTTAAGATAAGACTGAAGAGCAATATTGACTTTTGGTATCAGTCTGACTTTGTTTGCTTCATTTTCCTAAAGCAAATAATCCACACTGGATTCACATGTTATTGTTTCACTGTATCAAAAGTATTATTTTATTCCCTCATCATTATGATCTTTTCTTTGAAAAGGACATTAGTGGGGCCTCTGTGGATCGGGCTTGCTCTGGCACATCTCCTGGTTGCTTGACTGCTTTGGGATCTGTAAAGTCTGCAAGCCCAGGCTCTTCTTTATTTTGTGATGTGGCAGTGTCCTGACTGGAGACTGCCACTGGTCTGATGCGCTATATCTGCAATCGATCATTGGTTTTAATGTTGTGGCTATACGGCAAGCTGTTATGCTTCTTTTGATATCTATAGCAAGAGTCCATCCATAAACGTACATAAGGAAGGGGGTGCCTAAAAAATAAACGCATGGAAATTATTAGAACTTAAGAGAGACAACATAACGGTAAATTAAATGGTTTGTTAAGCTCATCCTAGCAAACTCAAGACTTGGTAAGCTGACAAACATTAGACTCTAGACTCTACATGCACACACGAAACATTCAGAAGAAACCCAATGTATAGAGAAATATACAGAAAAGTCAGACGAATAAAGAGTCTGTCCCCAGAACCATACCTGTGTCCATGATATTCGCCAGAACAAAGCATAGACAAGATATGACCTGGTGCTTTCAGTCCATCATACAGTAATCCTCATTGTTAACCATAGTGTTCCCTTCTTTGCTGTGCATTTTAGGTGACTAACACCCTCCCTTTATGCAAACACGTGTCTTAGTGTAGCTTAAACAAACCAAAGTCTTAGTGTCACTCTTTGTTTGACAACAGGTCATATCAGGTTACTTGGCCTTTGGGTATTACCACCATCATTATCAGAGAGTTGGTGTAGTGGGAAACAAAAACATGTCACTCTCTTCCCTTTTCAAACAAAGCAACACAAACATATACACTGTTTAGTGATAAGACTCATTTAAATGTGCAGTCTTCGTCTGTCCTTTGAATCCGTTTTGCTCCCAGCTGTTGGCAGGGAAGCCCGAGGACTATTGTAACATTTATTGAGAAAAGGAACATATATATGTACACTAACTAGCAGTACAATAGGTGTTTCCTCTTTTACTAATAAGGACAAGACTGCAATATTCTTTTTAATCCAGGAAGTCAAACTGTTATAAATGGCTCCCTTGGTGTGTACAAACATGATCGGTGCAATCGTGGCTCAAGAGTTGGGAGTTTATCTTGTGATCGGAAGGTTGCCGGTTCGAGCCCCGGCTCAGACAGTCTCTGTCGTTGTGTCCCTGGGCAAGACACTTCACCTACTGGTGATGGCCAGAGGGGCCGATGGCGCGATATGGCAACCTCGCTTCTGTCAGTCTGCCCCAGGGCAGCTGTAGCTTGCCTCCACCAGTGTGTGAATGAATAGTGGAATTGTAAAGCGCTATATAAATGCAATCCATTATTATTATATAAAAAGTCATCACGCCACTATATCTCAAAAAGAAGCAATCTTTCAGGTAATCACATTGCTGCAATTGTATCTAATGATATAGCTTAAATACTTTAAAATTTGTTTAAATGTTGGGTACTGCAGGATGTGCCAAAGCCTACAAAGACTTGAAAAACCTGGAAGCTATTCTAGTGGTAATTCGATTTTAAGTCTACATACTAAATACAAGTACAGGTGACTTAAATGTATGATAATGCTTTGATGAAACAAGTTTCTAACGCATTTCATGTTAGTATTGACAACAGATATGGCAGATGGCATAACAGATCTTGATAAAATAAAATCATGTAAACATGTTGATATATTAATTTAAAAGCACCCGAAATAAATGGATGACATGCATTTATTTATTTCTCACATGCTTCACCTGTATATGTCATGCATATACCTGCAAACTGTTGCTTTCTTTTTCTCCTGTCCATATGTAAGCTAATATTGTTTTAACACATTAAAACCCCCCCACTATTTTACACAAAATATGCTTTTTCATAGTGTAGTGGAATATGTCCTTTTAAAGAAAACAATAATAACAATAAACTGTTACAATTGCCCCCAATAGATTGTCACAGCCAGGGGGAGCAGACGGCGTGTGGCGTGAAAAAGACCGAAACTGCATTTCAAACAAAAAGCGAGCTGTTTATTCAGGCTGATTAAACCTGAATACAAAAGGCAAATAAGGGCAAAAACTGAACTAAAACCTAAACTCGGGAAACTACATTGTGGTTATTATGATTAAACTATAATAACTATGACTACAGACAGGAACATGACTCTGAGCAGGAACATGCAAATAACTATGATGGAAAAAAACATGAACCGAGCAGAATCATGAAAAACTCTTAACCTGACGTGACGCAGAAGGAATTAACACCGACGACTTGACGCTGAACAAAGAAAGACAGTGGACTTAAATACATCCAGGAGGTGATCAGGGGAAGTGGAAACACATGGGGAAACAGCTGACACAAATGAACATAGTGACTTACAGGGAGGAGTAAAATTAAACACACTGAACAAAGAAACACAAGACAAACAGGAAAAAAAACGTGAAACATGTGACATAACACCGGCTAGACAACATGAAGCACACAGACAAGAAATTCATGAGTGTAACACAGAAGACGTAGGAGAAACATAAACGAAACGAAACTCAAGGCAAACACATGATAATCCTAGATCTTAACATCCTTTCAATATAACATAATAAATCACAAATGCAAAAATAAACACAAAATTCTGGGTCACAGACACAGCCACAACAGTACATTAAAATCCTGGGTTCTAGTTACGAACACCTATGTTATAATGGGCTGTTGATGTAAATTTTTAACACAGGGATAGAACTGATGTGTCACTGTGACCCACTAAAGGGTCACAGTGCATGCATCTTTTTAAAGTTCTGTGTATAAACTAAAAATGCAAGGCACATGCAAGCCAAGAAAAGAACACGTGGTCAGTTTAAAACAGCCCAACAATGAAAGATAATGTGACATTTCAAACACCAAGAACTGCTCTTCACCAGATTTTCAAAATGTTTTGTACTATGAATG